GGAGAGATAAAGAGAGAGAGAGAGAGAGAGAGAGAGAGAGAGCATTTTTCTAAATTGAAAACAAAACAAAAACCCAGTCTTGCTCTCCTCTGGAAAGTAAATTTGCCCATCTTTCCGCTGGCTACAAGCCTCCATCCAACACTGCCCCCTTCCCAGATCACGGTGAATGCATACAGCACATGCACCCCTCTACCCACCACTAAAAACATTAGAAAAAAAATAGTTCGTGCAGGATTAGTTTTTAGGACTAGCTTACCTTTAGGGAATTGTGCTCCAAATCCCATTTATAAAAACTAGCAAAAGTGTGTAAATTATGTATTAACTAAGTCGAGGGGTATATGAATTATATATGTTCATGATGTTAAAAAAAAAAAGGCATACTGGTCCAGCACAACAAACCTGAAGCTCTGAAAACCCTGCAAGGATCACTTTATATCGGTTCAAACTCTGAGCACTAGAATATAGGAACACAAGTTTTGAGACTCCAGACCATAGACCATCTTGAGGTTATCCGGAAGACACTTGCTTTACTTCTTTCCCTTCATAAAATAACATTGTCTGTATAGGTGAGAAATAATCACACAACTTTCCATTGTCCTTCCCCTTCCAAATGATTCTCAGAACTTATGTGAGTATCTCTCTGACCAACTGTCTCTTTCTGTGGAACACAGTTGTTGGCTACATAGGAAGGCAGCCAAAGGGTTTTGCAGTGTCTGCCACCAGGCCTCCCTTTTAACATACCTGGAACCTGGTTGGCACAGATGCAGTATTTTTGAAACATGGATGGTGTCTTTAAAGATACATGGTGTAGGATGATGAATGGAAGAGTCCTAGGAATGGATCCTTATAGGAGGAATCTTGGCAAACTGTAAACTTGAAGGTCTGACTCTCTGGAATATCCCTGAAACTGTGCAGTATTGAACCTTCTGCAAATCCCAGTCTGGCTTTGTTGCTGATAGAGGAGGGTACTTGAACAATGGATATATTTAGTAACAGAAGCTCAAATACTAGGCATCCTATCTCAGTAAATAACTATGAAGAGCAGTACATACAAGGGCATTAAATCCAACTCAGAAAGAGCCCTTTGACAGTATTGTATCAGCATCTCAACTTCCTAGCTGGAGAGTAAAATTATGTCAGCCATTTTTGTTAGACCACAGATACTGTTCCTGTAGATAGGAAACAGTCACATCACATATCCTACCCACTACCTTCCTGAATTATCTAAATCCAGAGACCTCTCCCTTGCTCTTAAGCTCAGAGAACCCTCCTCAGCTCTAAAGTAGATGAAAATAGAGAATCTCTCTTGCTCTGTGGGTTGCTTGCTGTTGAATGTCTCAGCTTTTCTACGGCAAGAAGCCAGTTACTAAAAGATATTCTACCTGAAACCTGTCTCAGCACATCTCTTTACAGGATTTGAAAAAGAGTCTATGATTGAAAACAATGTTAAGTTATGGCTAGAATATATTTGCCTAGAACTAATGCTGTGAGAGGATGTGAGCTGTGACTTCCTGAGGTTGATCAGCTCCAATTCAAAAGAGATGCCAAAGAGACTTTGCTTTGTTGACATAGGAGGAAAATTTTGGCCTTACAATAAAAAGGGCAACTTCCTTGGCAGAATATTTGTTGCAGCTGTGATTTGCAAAACACTGCATTTTTGTGACCAGTGTTTAATAATGATATAATAATGAAGCTCTCTGGGCAAACTAGAATCCACTTTGCAAAGTCAATTTTTTTCAAACTAACTCAAGTTTCCAGCCATTCATGGATTTCCGGGCTGGGTGTTTTTTAAAATGGAGCTTCTAGCTCAGCATATATTTCATATGCCATAAAAGCTTTGTGTAGATAGATCTTTTGCTAATGCAAGGCAAGTTGTCATTTTAAGGGTCAAGGGACTTTCTAGAGAAGCATAGTCAAAAGGTGCCTGTCAGATGAACATTTAAACCTGTTGTTTGTCCCTTCACTTAGCTAACGGGAAATTTTTCAAGCTCTTTGTTCTTGATCTTGGTCTTCGTAATATGGAAAATAGATGGATTTCATGCTCATGGGAAATAGTAGGTAGGAACCAGAAAGCAATAGAGAAATATTGCACATGTGTTGGTTGATACATGCATAAATAAAGCTCACTGGGTATTTGTATATACCCACACATGAAGTCTTGGTAATAATTCTAAGAACATAATTAATCCAAAGTCATCTCACCAGCAGATCCTGGAACCAGCCTGTTTGAATTTTGCTACTATAAATCACTTGAGAGTATCTTTCAAATCTAAGACACTTATTTCAAGGTGCCAAATTTTGGGGGCACAGAGGCATATAATTGGTGCTATATCAACCTGGAATAATAAGGTCATAGCCAGAAAATACCCCTATGCAGATTCAGGTCATTTTATAGTAATTTCAGAGGCATAACCTCTGCCCTGCATTCATTAGAGTGACTCTGAAATGTGTTTATGCCTGTACTAATTCTGTCTTTTTTTCTTTTCAATCCCAGGAGGTGAATTAGTTATTCCTCTTCTTGTAGAAGACCCTTTAGCTACCCCTCCTATTGCTACACGTGTACCCTCCATTACACTCCCCCCTACCTTCCGCCCCCTCCTCACCATTATTGAGACCACCAAAGATTCCCTGTCCATGACCTCTGAGGCGGGGTTACCTTGCTTGTCGGACCAAGGCAGCGAAGGTTGTGATGATGATGGCTTGGTGATATCTGGGTATGGCTCAGGGGAAACCTTTGACTCTAACCTGCCCCCTACTGATGATGAAGATTTTTACACCACCTTCTCCTTGGTAACAGATAAGAGTCTTTCCACTTCAATCTTCGAAGGTGGCTACAAAGCACATGCGCCCAAGTGGGAATCCAAGGACTTTAGACCTAACAAAGTCTCGGAAACTAGTAGAACTACAACCACATCTTTGTCCCCTGAGCTGATCCGCTTCACAGCGTCCTCCTCGTCTGGGATGGTGCCCAAATTGCCAGCTGGCAAAATGAATAACCGTGATCTCAAACCCCAGCCTGATATAGTCTTGCTTCCGTTGCCCACTGCCTATGAGCTAGACAGCACCAAACTGAAGAGCCCACTAATTACTTCCCCCATGTTCCGTAATGTGCCCACAGCAAACCCCACGGAGCCAGGAATCAGACGGGTTCCGGGGGCCTCAGAGGTGATCCGGGAGTCCAGCAGTACAACAGGGATGGTCGTCGGCATTGTGGCTGCTGCCGCCCTCTGCATCTTGATCCTCCTGTACGCCATGTACAAGTACAGGAACAGGGACGAGGGGTCCTATCAAGTGGATGAGACGAGGAACTACATCAGCAACTCGGCCCAGAGCAACGGCACGCTCATGAAGGAGAAGCAAGCCAGCTCCAAGAGCGGCCATAAGAAACAGAAAAACAAGGACAAGGAGTATTATGTGTAAACATGACACCTATCGTATGTGAATTTAAAACAGAATTATTTATATACACACACCCGAGTACTTTGACAATGAGATTTAACTTGTTGGATGTGTTCTGTGAGACGGGTTATACCACGACTATGGTGGGGAAAGCCATTTTTAAAAGGACACATACGATGGTGTATCTCTCTGAAATTCTGCCATGCTGCGAGGTTGCAGCCATGGCCCGAGACAGAAAGTTCTCTCTGCCCTGCTGTATCATAAAGCACACACTTAGCACCCTGGAGCAAGCCCACGACTCCATGTGACTTTGGAAGCTTCTTTCTCTCCAGGACCTTTTGAAAGGGGTAGAAGACTATATATGGCTTACTTGTTCCATAGCTGCAAGTGAGTCTATAACGATGTTTGTGAATCTTGACTGTAACAATGTTGGGTTATTTTTTGTTTGTTTAATTATGTAAAAAAGCAAAAAAAACCAAAAAAATGAGAAAAGAAAAATGCGTTAAAAAAAATCAAAAACAAAACAATACAAAAAACCCAGAAATACCTTTATCTGGTTCTGGCCAGTGTGAGAGTTACTTTTCAAGATCTGAGGGGAAAATGGCTTTTGGGTTTTCATTTATTTTATTTGACAATGACTGCATATAAAAAGAAGAGAAAAAAATACTCAGAAAACAAAATGTATGAGACTCTTGCCATATGAACTCAAAAGCTACCATGGCATTCACTCCACGTAGCAGGTTGTGGTGTCTCTAGAATCTGTTGTTTGCTTCCTAATACTTTGATGAATCCATATAGTGGATGGTAATCGATTTGAAATGCGGGTCCCCGAGATCTAACTCCAATGTTTGCCACTCAAACCTAGAACAGACAGGTTTGGGGCTGGTTTTATCAGAGCTATTGGTTTCACTTAACAAATATTGTCCCTGTCCATCAACCCAAATTGTGTGAAAGGGGAAAGATGAGCCCCACAAATTGAAGCAGAGCCCTTTCAACGAGAAGGGCAGGGGGGTGGACTGGATCTGTAATTGATCAAAATGCATGCAAATAAAGAAAAAAATAGAAAAGACAATATTAAGGTCTGTTTCAACAGGCTACAGGGGAGTTCCCAACTTGTAACACACCCGTAAATGCTCACACGAGCCATGTCATGGGCAAGTGTGAAAAGTCATAGTTCTTTCCCCACCCCCAACATGATAATGGTTTCCATAGTGATTTAATTTTGTAGCCTGGTGTGAATAAATCTCTTTCCATCTCCTCATGTCTCCCTTCACCCATCTTTTTTTAAAAAAAAAACAAATAAATAAATGAATAAAGCTGCTGTGACACACACAAAAAGGAATTTAATAGTATAATATATATAAATAAATATATATACAGATATATTTATCATGGTGTGTTTGATGGGATGACTGACACAGAAATCTGTTAAAGTCTTGAAGTGGAATGAGAATGTTATTTTAAAAGAAAAATAACAAAACAACAAAAAAGTAAACCTTAAAATGTGAAGAAAGCGTGAGTTTTCGTTTGTCACAGTTAACTGTGTCAAAGAGAATTTAAACAACAACAACAAAAACTTCTCAGATTTTGTTTACATATTTTACTACATTTTTGCTGGTATAATTCCTTAGTCACCTATGTACATACCGCTTTAAGAACTGTTATTTCCTTTCTATCTGTTTGTTTGCTTTGTATCCCATTCTGTCTCCTTTTTATAAAGAGGAAACAATGTACAGAGTAATAATAAACTGGTTTTGTGGCCATAGCCATTCAAAAAGCAAGAAGATAAAATAAGACACATATTCACAGAAAGGTGAAATGTGTTGTCCGGAGGGGCAGACATACAATTTCTTTTGTACAGATGAAAACCAATCAGCTGTCTAGATTTAGAAATCTACTCTTGCTGGTCTTTGTAAGTTGCATGAATATTTGACTTTGAAAAAAAAATATCTTAAAGACACGGGGCAGAAGGCACAGTCTAAAACAATGGCAGCCTTTACTAATGTGTATGGAAAGAGATGTTCCTCCTTATCTGAGATTTCAATGTGTTAAGAGCTCTCATTGTTTTGTTGCCATTAAAAAGACAGGACTATGAAAGGATATCAAAGCACGATTTTAGATCAATGGCCCAGCCTACAGGAAGTTGATTATATCTTGATGTTTGTGACAGATTGCTGTTCTTGGAGTCTTGAGGTCTTGTGAACTGATCTCCTGCTTTCTTTCATTACATTTTTTTTTAAATATGGGTAAAAACTCATCTGTTATATTCCTTTCAGTGTAAGTTTCTATTTGGACAATTTTATGGAAACTTGTGCATTCTGTATGTGAGCTTTCATCATTTTCCTGTTGTTTTCCTCGAAGACCCTAAAGGAATTTCTTTCATGATGTTGTGATGTTCCTGCTTTTTCTTTTTCCTTTTCACTTTAATTTCCCATTTGCTTTTTCGTTCAAGGATATGCTTAGCAATAAAATGTTCTTCCCAAAAGCCTTGTGTTATGATGCAATTCTATTTTCTTAGCTTTGGTAAAAGATAATGCACACAGCTAAAATGGGTCCTATTTTATTGAGAGTCAAGCAAACTAGAAGCACTGTCATGTGCTATAGGCTGTTCAGACCACTTATTAATTACAGAATGAACCAAGGGGCATATTTATGAAATATATTATCTTCACTCTACCTGAGGACTTTGTGTTTAGATTGCTGTAATGGACAAAGAGGTGGAGAAGATATGTTCCAGAAGGTAAGATGGCATAATCACCGTATTCTGAAAAAGATTGCTGGAGGCTTTGTTATCAAAAATGTTTGATATCTTTCAGTGTTTTCTATAACTCAACAAACTTCAAGCATCATTCAAGAATTGTATCCAGATATGACCTTACCCAGAAAGCTCAAGATATCTTTCTAAGATTCCCACCACAGTGGAAAACAGGAAAACAAAAGCAAAATCTCACCAGATTCTAAAGCGAAACTTGAATGAGTTTTTGAATTCTTATAGTGTCTTCCTACAGTTTACATCCATCAGTTTCTTCATTCTTTTGTACTTTTCTCAAATTAATGAAACTCCAGACATACACTTTACTTTGTCAACTAGGTAGTCAGTGCTGTACCCTGTTTTTCACCATGACTCCTAAATTTATATTCAACTCAATAAGTTATCCTCAATCACGTTTTAAATGATACCATTATGGGCTTTCAACTTTTGGTAGGGGGATAGTTATGCTGGTGACTATCTCAGAATGGGATGAAATTGGACTCAGTGGTACCAAAAAATACGAAGTTCTTTTTTATAGCTATTATCTAAGATAATTTACTTAGTAAAGAAATGATTTATTAATGTCCATGATGCGCCAGGTGCTCTGTTGCTTTAATGTATGTAATCTGTTTAATCAACTTTAAAGATGAAGGAAAAAAGCCACAAATAGCTTAAGGAAAATTTGGCTGATATCTTAAAACAATGTTAATAGTCACATTGCACTTGCCTGGAAGTCAGTGGACAACACGTGCACTCTAAGCTTAAGTGGAGTTGGTTGGTGTCCCAGATGGACTACTTCATATACATGACTCAATTAAACTGATGCTGATATTTCTCTTCAGTAAAAATAAATAATATATATAAATTAAATTTATATAATACAAATAAAGGCATTAAAACTCAATGACTTAACTATGCAATGTAGAATTTTTAGGTATAAAAAATCACCTAAAATAACAAAAAGCTCTTTACCTGTGTTCAATATAGAGAAGACACTTCATAATAGCCTCTTCTGTGTGATTGATTGATTATTCTCTATGTAATAATTTCCTTTTCTCCTTGGATATTCTATACAACAAATAAGACACAGCAAAATTATTTACTTAGTAATTATAAAATTATCATTTGTTATAATTGTAAATGTACCAATTATAAAATGGTATAGCCAAGAATTTAAAGGCTTACTAAGTATAATTGAGAAGTATAGTCCCAACTAGTAAATGCACACTGACATTTAGTAACACAAGGATATCTGGCACATTTTAAACAAATGTCTAGAAGTCTGGTTCAATAAAGTAAGGAAATTTGGAGATAAAATGTTAAAGTTAACAAATTTATGGTAAATCTTGCAGTGAAGTTTTCAGACAGTAGGTTGCCCTTCCCACCACAGATCCCATGAAGACTGAAATGGTGCTTGCTGGCTAACATTGGTCAAAGTGCATTTATAGAAACAATTTCCCATTGTTTTTCAATGAGGAAGTCAGCAAGACACTGCCACCTTCACTGAGTTTAAATTTGTCTCTGGGTTTGAGAATAGCCAGGCTTAGTTCCAGTTCTAGCCCTCAATACAGGGCCTATTCTCTGTCAGCTGTGACACCTTGAGTATTCTCACATCTTCTGGAAAAGTATAAATATACCACATACCTCTTACTTTTGTTGTAGAGTTAAATGATCTAATATGGATATAAGTTCTGAGTACAATTCCTGGCCCATACCCCTGAAATTAGAGTATCTAGTTATTAAAAAACAATCAGTTATTCTCAGAGAAAAAAGAATCTATATTTTTCTTAAAGTCTAGAAAAGATGCTTATTGGAGGTTGGCAGATCAATCACTTTATTCTACCACACAAGCTCACTACTTGTTTTATTTCACTACCATTGAAATGATAGATAGATAGATAGAAAAATAGATAGATAGATAGATAGATAGATAGATGATAGATAGGTGATAGATAGATAGTCTTCCACCAAGTCTGTGTATAGCTTTCTGAAACCTCAACTTTAGCCAACTTCTTAGGTATAGATTCCATAAGTAAGGCTTACATTTGTATTCTGTGCTACAAAGGGACATCAATTGCTCCAAATTTATAGGCTAACCATTGCTTTAAATTAGTGATTCAGAACCTTCCTAATGCTCTGACCCTTTAATATAGCTCCATATGTTGTGGTGACCCCCAACCATAAAACTATTTTCATTGTTACTTCATAATTGTAATTTTGCTACTCTTATGAATCATAATGTAAATTCCTGTGAACTCTCTAAATTTTT